GGGGGTCGGCCGCCTTCAGCAGCTCCTCGGACGGCAGCTTGGCGGCCAGGCGGGCGTGCGCGAAGCCGTGCTCCGCCCCGCTGCCGTTCTCCCTGCCGAGTGCCGCGGGCGGGCTGTACTCTCCCGCCGCGCTGTAGGGCGGCGACACCAGGGGCTTCAGGCCGCCGTACTTCCCCACCTCGTCCGCGCCCAGCCCCGGCTGCGAGGGGGGCTTGCCCGGCTTGTACCCCGCGCTGCTCTGGGGGTCCGGCGCGCTGCTGGCGCTGAAGCCGTTGCCGCGGCACTCGCCCTTGTCGGGGGGCACGCTGTAGGGCGAGCCGGCCCCCGGCTTGGCGTGCTCGTAGCCGTACTTGCGGTACCGCGGCCCCTCCTCCCCCTCCTCCTCCACCCCCAGCTCAAAGGCCTTCCTCTTCAGGGCGCCCCCGGGCTCCGGCCCCCCCGCCAGCCCGTGGCCCTGGTACCCGTAGCTGCCCCCCACCATGGCAGGCCGCGGCGGGGGCAGGGGAGTGGGGGCGGCCAGGCCGGAGGGCAGGTAGGAGGCCGGGGAGTGGACGCCGGCGTAGGCAGGGGCCAGGCCGGGCTGGGGCGGGTAGGAGCTGGGGGGGTAGCTGTAGACGGTGCTGGGAGGGGTGTAGCTGGGCACCAGGGTGGAGGGGGGCTGCAGCAGGGAGGCGGGGGGCAGTGCCGAGCCGGGCTGGGAGCAGTACCCCGAGGAGAGGTAGGTGCCGTTATAGGCCGGAGGGGGGTACTCCTGGGAGGGAGGGCCGCTGCAAGAGCCCCCGGCACTGTACCCCGGGTCCGAGATGGACACGCCGCTCGGGCCGGAGGGCACCCCGGAAGTCACTGCGCCCTTCGAACCTGCCAACACCTCGTGTCCGGGGGGTGGGGGCGCCAGCGAGTACCCCCCGTCGGAGCCGTGCGACATGGGCCAGGGCTCGGCATCGCTCTTCTGCCCGTTGAGGCCCCCGAACGGGCCAGGCTCGGGGTAGCCGGGCACGGGGGCGCGGTCGTAGGGCGAGTCCAGCATGCCCGAGTACTTCTCCGCGTAGCGCTTGAGCAGGTTGGAGGCGGTGAGGGCGGAGATGTCATCGTTGGCCCAGGCGTAGTTGTAGCGCTGCCGGCCCGCGGCGTACAGCTCGGACTTGTGGGCCGGCGAGGAGGTGGTGGAGGAGACGTCCAGGTGCTGCTCGGGCCACTGGGTCAGGGGCTGGGCATGCTCTGGGGTCCAGTGCATCTTCAACAGACCTGGGGGACAGAGAGAGAGGGGAAAGGAGAGAGGAGAGAGGAGGACAGAGAGAGGAGAGAGGAGGAGGAGGAGGGGAGGGAGAGGAGAGAAAAGAGGAAGAGGGGAGAGAGAGAGGAGAGAGGAGGAGTAGGGGAGAGGAGAGAGAGAAGGAGGACAGGAGGAGAGAGAGAGGAGAGAGGAGGAAGAGTGGATAGAGAGGAGAGAGAGGAGAGGAGGAGGCGGGAAGGGAGAGGAGAGAGGAGGAGGAGGGGAGGGAGAGGACGGGAGGGAGAGGAGAGAAAAGAGGAAGAGGAGAGAGAGGAAGAGAGAAATACTGTAAGCAATTTACACCTAAAATGGGAGATGTGACAACATTTTACACACAAGGCGCTTGCAAACATGTCATTATCCAAGGGCAGCACCAGCTGCAGTCTCCAGCTGTTCCACCTTTAGAGCCTCCTTTTAGCGCTTGTCAGCGAGATGAATAACTTTAATACTGAGGGCTGTCCTGGAGGAGCCTTTCTGGTAAGCAAGATCTCTCAGATACGTATCTGCACACAGCTCTCCACCTGTGCCAGCAATTCGGAGAACCAGTTCTCATTAAGCCCAGCCAAGCGTCTTGATAGCTTCATGTAATGCCTTCAGTGTGCACGGTTTGACCACTCAGGGTTTCTGTTTACAGGCTTTATTTGTTACTGAACTGTGACCATGTTTGCGTTAATTAATGTAGAAATCAAACTGATTTCCACAAAAATGCCCTCAAATATCCATATCTAAAAGGATGCAAACATTTGAAACAGTTTTAAGCGTTTGATTAAAGAGCATCCTGATGCTGTTTCTTCTCACTGATGACAGGAGGTCACCCTGCTCACTGAACTCCTCGGGCTCTCTAGTTCACTTGACAGCAGCGCCAGACTAGTGCATCTTTGGGAGAAGGGAGACAGGACCCCAGTGCTTGCAGACAAAATCTATGGAAATACAGGAGGGGGGGGGGGTTTCAGGCAAAGAGACATGCAAACTCCACACGGTCAGGCGCCCCAAGCAAGACCATCGCGCCGCTCTCCTCCGTCAGCCTATCGCCTGACCTCTTCTCCATGAGAAGAGCTGCTGGACTCCTCTGTTCTCTGAGCCCCTTACTGGCAAACTTTACAAGCCTCTGTGAACCGGGTCGACACATTACATTTGCAAGGACCACACTGTTTTATCTCGGGTCCTCGAAACCCGGAGAAGCCCAGCCTCCGCGAGAGCCGGTCCCGGATCATGACACGCGCACACCCAGGAAAACAGTCCACGGCGATTTCAGAGGATTTCTCGGGAAGGACATGGGAGGGGCCTGGCCTTTGAACTCCTGCCTCTCCTCTCCGTGAGGCTATCGGCTTTCGGCCCGCACAGACGGACAGCCCGAACCCCGCCGGCCGCGGGGCGGAGCAGCTGGGTGCCGGATGGAGCCTGTGCAGAGCCGGGCTGCCGGAGACGGTCTGTATTCGCTACAGGCAGAAGCAACAGCAGGGGCATTTGTACCGTCATCTATCGAATTACCTCCGCCAACCACCCCCCCGCCCCCCCGGAAAAAAAACCCCTGCGTTTCCAGATATGGCCGCGCAAGGGCTCCCACCCCACCCCCCGGCCGTGACAAAACCGCTCTGGGCCCGACAGCATCTGCGCGTCTCCCTCAGGAGCTATTGTTGTCGTCCTGTGCATGTTTCTGAAACCCAGCCCCCTCCTGCCTGAGCCTGAGCGCTGCTTCTCCAGCAATGCCCAGGGGACTCCGGGGGAGGAGGGCCGGCCCTGCGGAATAGTGACCTATTCATACATGCCTTCCAACTGCACATACACTGCTGGGGGGTGTGGGGCATTGTGACTGGGATGCCTCTTTAAAAACAGCCCACTATTCCTCCATTCCCTGCGATATCCCGAATCAGTATTCCCGCACCGGGGAATAAACAAACAAGCTGGGAAAACTGGAGACCCCCCCCTCTCTGTTTGCTCACAGCCTGTTCTCTTCTGCTGGCTCTCCTCATCCAAACCACGGCTGATGTCTGCAAATCAGCAAAATCGGCTCTCGTTTTAGAAAGCAAGAGGTGGCTCAGATGGTCAGGCAGTGCATTCACAATTAAGAGTGATTCGGGAGGGCAATCGGGGACCCTCTGGAATATACAGAACACAGTCAAAACGGAGCAGGAACTGTTTCAGTGTCAGTTATCCTGGTTTTACTGGCCAATAAACCTGAACCATCCCAAACGTTTTTAAAAGGGCTAATCAGAGCCCAGATCTGAGCGTGTTTCTCCCCTGTGAGCTCTCTCTCTCTCTGGTAAAAACAACACGATTCTTCCGATCAGTGGTTGAAGCTCCCGGTGAAATGTGGAATATTTTGGCTGACCTGAAAATAGCTGACCCACGTGCCCGGGGGCAGTGGGGTGGGGAAGGGGTCTATAATGGGCTTCACCAAACTAAACTGGCCCCAAAAAAAAAAAGATGAACCAGTTCTGTGTCTCCGACAAAGAAAAGCTCCAGGAGGAGGGAGAATCGGATGGGCTCCGGTGCAGAACCGCAGGGTGGGGCGGAGGGCAGCCCTTCCTGGTCCCTGAGCCTCCAGCACTGCTGCCTTCTTCCTCTCCAGAAAAGAGCAGATGCCCTGGGAGGCTCTCTGCTCGTGTGAAAACAGCCGTTGCGCAGGGTTTGTCTTGCTGGATCAACATTCCTGGCATAGCAGGGCTTTATTAAACTGTCACGTAGGCTGCCTGGGGTGAGGGCCGCGCAGCGCGCAGGAGAAACGAAGCCGACAACCAACACATTCCACTGGGCTTGTCTCTCCAGGTCCGCCAGGGGATGGAGGGCTCTCTCAGGCTCCCTGGCTGGAGGCAGACTGAGCGTTTCTCCGGCATCTGTTCTGGCTCGAGTCCACTCTCCCCAGGACCGAGCTGGCCAGACGGCCTCTAGCGCTCTCCTCCTGCACATTCAAATCAGCAGGGCCCCGCGCACACACCCTGCTCCCGGATTCCTGCGGCGTCTCGGAGAGAGCACGGCGTGAGAGAGGGCGATAACGCTCTGCAACACGCATGCTCTCCCCAAGACACGGCCCAGAACCAGATTTCACAGTCTGCAGCAGCGCTGTCACACATATTTTAAGATTTGTGCAAATATATACACTGTAAGGTCATATACAGTATATTTATACACACAGACACTCTCCTCCCCAAGACATGAGGTTGGATCAAATAAAACCAACAGTAGACAGATCAGCTCATGTGTTCTGACTTTGCTTGACCTTTCCAGTACAACTGCAGTCCGGACTGAAGCCCCGGTGAGAGAGAGGATTCACCCACACGAACACAAGCCCGGAGCTCTCAGCCCTTTCTCTCCTCCAACCCGAGCCGCTTCAGGGCAGCACTCATCCTGTCGAGCCTTAGATCTTCTGGACTGCCTCGGCCCGCGAGGCTCTGAAACCTTTAGCGGGTCTGTACGCTGAGGGTGGGGAAGGAGCTCACTCTCTCTGGAGGGCACACTGATAGTTTCCTTACACACACTCTGGGGCAGCGGCCACTGCCACGCTGGCACCCAGATCCTGCCGGATCTCATGAGCCAGAGAAGACCAGGGCTTGTCGGTACGGGAATGCAACCAGCAGTTCCGAGTGGTGTTGATGGACCAGTAGGCGGTGCTCTTTCTTGGTCGTTGATGATCCCCTGGCCATGCTTGCAAGAATAATGGAGTTAATCCAGTGTCTTGGTACACACGGCTCCTAGTTACAGCGTGCCATCCCAAGATCACACCCAGCCTCGTCATTGTCTATTTACATGATCACTGAAAACAAACTGCTGCATCACAGCAGTGGACAGAACAGCACAGCTGCATGTTCCTGTTATGTCCTATTAACACTTAAAATAAAACTT